GTACCGAGAATGAGAGAGAGCAAGAGTAGCAAAAAAAAACAAAAGAAAAGAAAACAGGGCATGAGGATGGATGGAAAAGAAGAACACGCATGAACAGTAGCATGCATGCACATGTGGGTTTTTGGACTGAATGAGATCATCATTTTCCTCTTCCCCCAGTCACACGAGATCTGGATGGTTTACAAGAAATCAAGAACCAGAAACATGTTCAAAACTTAAGGTTGAGGTGATGAAATCGTTATCTTGAGAGGAAGAAGAAGGCAAACCTTCTGCTATGGCTTCATCCTCAAGTGAGATTCTACTATTTGTGAAGGTTTAGGCTAACTTGTTATTGTTTCACTTTTATTTTAGTAATTGAATATGAAAATTAAAAGTGGCTTCGTGTTAATTTCATGGTTTAATAAACTGTGATTGATTATTCATGATGGTTCAGATTAATGGTTTCTCAGTGCCATTTTGTTTTGAAGTTCTCAAATAATACACTTTATGATTATGGGTCACAAATTATTATTTTTAACTTTGCTGTCTCTGCAATTGTAAATTTGTTTTATGTCCTATTGATTGTGATGAAATGATTATAATTGCAGTGATAATTTTTACTACCTGTGGCCTTGGAGTTTTATTTTGTTATAGTCATAATTTCCATTGTGACTATTTACATTTATCATATTGCAGTGTTCTGATTTCTTGTTTTACATGCCTTGCATAATTTCTTCTTGGTTGTTATAGTAGATGTCATGATTATTAATTTATATATATTGCCCATTATTGAAATCAATTTTCTTTTTATACTAAATATTTAAGTTTCGTGAGAGATTTCAAAATCTTCGTAGAGACTTAAATTAATCACATTATTGTGTAGGATAATAAATCCATGCAGATATCGTGATTCACAATTTATATGGTAAATAAATAAATAAATTTTGTAAATAAAATAAAAAAATATTTTTATAATTTTAATTAATTAAATTAATGAATTTAGATTATAATTATATTTACAATTATATCTTTTAGTCATATAAGATTTTTGAATGTCTATAGACCTTTAGAATAATTATCTTACCGTGAAAGTCAATAAGACTTTGTAGGTATAGCAATTAAGATTTCTATATTTAAATATGAATTATACAATTACGTATTAAAATACATTTAAAATATATAATATTTAATCCTTTATGGTGTGAGGATTTTGAATCTTCACAGATATTTAGGATAATTATATTACCGTAAAAGTCAATAAGACTTTACAGGTATTATGATTAAAATTCTCTAAAAACATATATATGCATGCTTGAATAAATTATTACTAACATATAAATAAATTTAATTTTTTTATTGTGAGAGATTTTGAAATCTCCGTAGATATTTAGAATGATTGCATCATCGTATGAGCCAATAAGGCCCTACAGAAACTGCGATTAAATTCCCAATCATAAAATATAAAAAAATAATTCTTAAACTCTTTTCTTTTCTTTATTCCAAAAAATTTAAAAATTGAGAAAATAATTGAAATTAAATCACTTTTTGCAATTTAAAACACACATATCAAAATTTCAAAAATTGTTTTATTTGCAAAATGGTGAATTATTTCTAATTAATTTCTCTTCAAAAAAATATTTTCACCAACAATTACCAAGCTCGAACTACGTGGACTTTGACTCCCATCATAGGGTGCGTAGGCCTCAGAGTCAAATTCTAAGTCAAGTCCTCCCTGTAAATAAATAAATATTTCTCACTTAATTCTTATCATTTTATATCAAACACATGAATATAAAAGGGATAATTAGAATAATTTTAAAACCATATTAATATAGCACAACAAACTTCAGGTAATCGTTCTCACGAACGGATGTTGTGGGGTGCCTAACACCTTCCCCACACTCAACCGACTCCTAAACCTATTCTCTGATTTCGCAGACTACCCTTATCCTCCTTTAAATAGTTTTTTAAGATTTTCCTCAAAATCTTGGTGGTGACTCCTATTTCTCCTGTCTTCTTTCCAAAGGCTGGAACCTCCGCTCTTGCGCTGTCCGCGTCACATTTCCGGGTGCGACATTTACTATCACTTGTTGGTGGCTTCAGAAATGTAGGAATCTCTTTATTTTTAAAGGTAAAGAGATGAAACCTAAGATGATCTCCATGCATGTGATGGCAATGTGTAACAGTATGCAGGAAGCACATAATAAGCTTGAGAAAAGTAGATCAAAAGGCATGATGCATGATCATGGCTGACAAGGGTGGAAATCTCCACCAAAGCATTGGGTGAAGGTGGACATCACATGTGAATGGAATGGAGTGATGGCATGTGATGGACTGATATTCAAAATCATCAAGGTAGTTTTGTGTTAGGTTTTATAGCCAGAATGCATGAAGGAGAGCCTTTTTACTAGAGATTTGGGGATGTGTGCATGGTCTAAAATTGGTACGGGAAACAAGAGCAAGGAATTAAGATAATTTTGGAATCGAATTCTTTATAAGTAATTGATTTTATTAATAGTGAAGTGAAACCTATACACCAAGACTATGAGATTATTTCCATGGTAAAGGAGCTGCTCTAAAGAGAGTGGGAAGTTAACTTACATTATATACCTCGAAGCAGGAATAGAACTGCAGACTTTCTTGCTAAAAGAGGTTTTAACGTGATGCTGGGTTTCCATAGGATGCTGCATGCTTCGCCTGAACTTGAGCCTTTGCTCCAACAAGACAGACCGTGAACTGATACTATTATGATTAGGTAGCTGGGGTCTTTCCTACATGTATCAAAAAAAGAAAGACATGATGTAAGAGAGAGTGGAAGCTGATAATTGAACAGGAAGAACTGGGTAGAGGGAGGAGAGAGTTATTATTGAGACCTAGATTTGGCATTAATGAGAGGAAAAAAGCTAAGCTAATTGAGAGCCAAGACCCACATGAAATTTGGGAAAAAAATTCTATATATTTATTTGCTTCATATTTTTTATAGAAAAAATTAGCCATTCAATCCTTATAATTTTACTTTAATTACAACTTAGTTCTTGAATTTTGAATCGTTTTAATTAATTCCTACCATTTTAATTCTATTATAACTTAATTTTTAAATTTTAACTCAATTCAACTTAGTTCTTATAATTTTGATTATTTAAAATAATAGTCTCTATTAGGGTTGTTCACAATGCCGATTGCCTAACATGCCTAGCCCAACTAGGTGAATTTTTGCCATGCCCAGCCTAAAAAAAAGCAGCCTAACATGATTTGAGCGAGGCAAGATTGAGCTAATATACAGGCAAGGCCAATCAACGGGCAAGATATGTTGCCTTACCCATTTGCCCTTACTCAGGATTTATATGTTATATAATATAGTTTATATTTTTAGTTTTAAGTCTTAAAGTGTGTGTCTTGTGTTGTATTTTTCCTAATAATGTATATTCCCAATTCACATTTTAAATTAGAGATTGGTGTATTTATTATGTAAAATTAGGATGTTGATATATCCTTGGTAATAGCATTCCATCTCATTCAAGTTTATTTTCTAACAATATAGGAGAAACATCGAAATAACAATATTCATTAAAATTTTAAATCACATAACTTAGTAAGCTTAAAACTAAAGCAACATGAATACATAAATAAAAATAATTTAAAATCAATCATTGAATTACATTAATTACAACTATAAGTATACAACTTAAAGTCAAATATAAATGAGATATAATACATTGTAATAGCAATTACAAATGATTTCTAGGTTATAAAAGTAACAATAACATATAAGCTAGGCATACTATCAAATCATTATTCTTTTTATTTAGTTGAGATATGTTAAGCTAGTGACTTTTTTGAAAATAAAGTAAGAAATATGATGTAAATAAAAATTATTAAATAGATTGATATAAAAATAAATTATATTAATGTAATTAATATATTGTAAAGAAAGAGATTACCCTCTACTGGTTATTTTATGTCATTAAAATTATCAAAAAAAATACCTTTAGTTTTAAATAAGAATTGTATGTATTGAAATTATAATTAATATAATTATAAATTATATTAATATAATTAGGTTATTCATATAATTAATATATTTAATGAATATTTGTAAAATAAAAAAATAAGACATATACATATACATATATAGACACATGTATAATAATCAAGATGGACAGGACATCCTAAGGACAATCCTATATCTCGTCCTATCCCAAACTCATTTTTCATCCTGTCCTGCAAAGTTTCATTTTGATTTTTTTTAGCTAAGAAGAATCATCCTGATATGATCGAGATGGTTACAAGATTGAATATCCCTATGTTTTTTCATCCATAAATATTTATATTTAGTGCCATGACTAAGTCCCTGACTATTTCTTATTCTGATTGTTAACTTCTTGTTACTTTTTCTTTTTTCAATCAAAGCTTGTTATATAATAATAAGTTTTTATCTTTTATGATATGAATTCATGAAATATAGATGTTATTTTGGATTAAATTATTAAATATATTTTATTTTTAAAATAATGTCTATTAGGTTTACTTTAGTGAAGTATTCTTTACAAATGTTGGATATGGTGATCTCAATTGGACAGCGCAGCCTGAAGATGCCCAACTTGAAATGTTTGGGCTTCTAGTGGATAAGGCTAGGCAATAGGTTGCATTTTATAACTTGTTCAACCTTTGGGCCAAACATCAGGTAAGGGCCTTGCCCTACCCATATGTAGCCCTACACACCCTATATCTAAAACAAAAAATTATAAAAACAAATTATTTTAAAATTTTAATCTTTATCATCTTCATAAATATTAAAGGTTTTTAGTAATTTAAAATAATAGTCCCTAATTTTGAAATAATTTTAATTTTTATAATATTAAAGATGGAATAATGAGAGATAATTTTAGAATAAATTTCATTAAAGAATGCAAAAAGTTGTCATAAATGATATATATCATCTATTTATAAAAAATGGCCATCAATACGGATACTTTACTAGTCTTATACTATGGTACATCCAATCACTCATCTTAACAAAATGGGGTGAAAGTAGAATTCATTCATTCATTCATTCCTATGATACATAATATAAGGAATATACTTCCTTTTATTTTATTTTAATCACCAAGCTAACCCTATCTCCACAGGGGAGAGGATTTTGATCACAATGGGATTTTGATCTTAGAACCTGTCGCTATAAGAGAGATGACCATAAGGATATCAAGAGTCCCACTAGACAAAATGGTGATGTGCGAGTAAGATACTTCATTAAGCAGCTACCCAAGAAGAAAGTTGGGGAGTGTCAGATTCCTTCCATGTGGCTAATCCAATGGCACTTCTATCACCTTTAACAGAATCAGCAGCAACAAAAGACTCAAGCCCAAGCAACTCTTGTGGACTGAGTTTAACAGACAAAGCTCCAATGTTTTGATTCAAGTTCTCTATTTTGGTGGTGCCAGGAATGGGGCACACATCACTTCCTTGATGATGAAGCCAGGCCAATGCTAATTGGGATGAAGTGCATCCTTTTCTTTTAGCCATTTCACTAACCCTCTCAAATATTGTATTATTCTGCTCCAGGTTTTCTGGTTGGAATCTAGGTAGACGCTGCAATGAAGTCAAATACATTCACGAGTAAAATTGGATTCCAATCCTTTAAATCCATATAAGTGACAGTTTGAGGAGATCAAGAGAGGAGAGATTATAAGCATAAAGATATAGGTTTCATACCCTATATTAGAGTTGCACATGTGTGTGTGTTTACATTGTTGTTCAAAATTACTTTGCCACACCAAATATTTCTTGTTTTTTTCTATTCTATTGGCCGGTATCTTGAAAAACTTATAGTAAAATAATTCGAACCCTCGCTGTGTGAAACTATTATTTCTAACTATAACCTCATGAGTATTTTGATGATATATATGGTATATTTATTTAACTCGATTGCATATTACAAGACTCAAATTCAAAACTCAAGATAAGTTAATTTAACTGGTTAAATCAAGTGTCGCTCCTTATATACCAAATATTTCTTTCATTGCAACAATCCTCTAGGAGAATGACTTTTCTTGAATAGTCTTGAGGAATGATGTTGGCAAACTCCTTCATTCAAAAATATAAGTCATTTTTTATAAAGTTATATGTTCAAATATATAATTGTTTAAATCATACAGTTAAAGGCTAGGCTAGTTTATTACTCCCTCCAGTTCTTATTAAATAGTGCCTTCTAAAAAGATTATTTGGTCACTAATATAAGGCACTTGATGTCATATTAATTATATTTTTTTAATATTACTCCAATTTAAATTCATTAATTATAAGAAAAAATATAATGCAAATTTTAAAAAGTTTTCATTTAGACATGAATAAAATTAAAAGTTTATTATATTTTTAGATAAAATTAATAATTTAACCACACACCTACTTAATTCTAGTAAGATAGTTAAAAGTACTTTATAAATTGGCCAAAAAAAGTGCTTTACAATAAAAATAGGAGAGAGGATGACAAATACAACTATATAGAACATAGTGTATGCTTATAGAAACAAGAATGAACACATACCTTCCGAGGGTCATTTTCTGAAAACCTTTCAGCCACTTTTGCTCCTGATGAAAAGAATCCTCGTCCAAGAGGGCAATACGCTACAATTCCTATGCCCAGTTCTCTAAAAATATCACAAATTAGAGGTCACAAAGCAAGACAATAATTGGTCATCAAAAGCTCTTAATTAATAGAGAGAATTATAAATATTAGGAAAAAAATTAATTTGCATGTCCTTATAATTTTTTAAATTTTGAATTACGTTTTTGTAATTTATTTTATTTTAATAAAGCCCTTATAGTTTGATCTATTATACATGTTAATTTTTAATATTAAAATTAATAATAAATGATTCAATTTTTCAAACAGAAGTACTTTAATTTTATAGAAAATTTAATATAATTTTTCGGCCAAAAAAAGGAAAAAGAAAATTTTAGTTAACACTATGTTTACATTTTATTAATTTTTTTATAAAAATTTTATATGTATAACAAGTATATAAAAGTATATTTTTAATCCTCTAACTTTATATAAAATTTTAATTTGGTCTCTGAATTTTATAAAATATTTTTTTACTTATCTAACCCTAACACATTTTAAATAATTATTTTTTATACTAATTATTGTTATTTTAAAAAATAAATTTAATATGTCAACATTTAATAATGTTTTATCAATATTTAAAAGTATAATGTAAAAAAAATTTGTGATGACACTAATGATGTTAGGATTAAAGGATTGAAAAAATATTTTATAAAATTAAAAGATTAAAATAAAATATTGTGTAAAATTAAAGAACTAAAAATATTCTTTAGCCTAAAAAATTTTTGAGTTATAAAATTTATGCAATTAATTCTAAAATTATATAATCTTTTGATAAAAATATAAAATTTCTTAATTTTATTTTTTTAAAGGAAAAATTCAAAAAATCTTAATCTTCACTAATTAAAAAAATATAAAATTAAACTGCATATAAGGACTGAATTTAAAATTAAAGGAAACTATAAATACTTGTAAATATATTTATTCTACATATTATAAATGGAATGTTTGCACTGTTTAAATTTCACCTGCAAGTTGGAACTATTTCTTCCTCCACATCTCTTGACCATAAGGACCACTCCACCTGGACTGCTGTTATAGGATGAATTGCATGTGCTCTTCTAATTGTTGAAGGTGACGCCTCAGACAAACCAATATATTTAATTTTTCCCTCCTCAACAAGTTTCTTAAGTTCTCCAATCTTACAATAGACATAAACAACACAGAAATAATTCAACAATTAGAGATCATACACTCAGATTATTTTTATGTGTGTGAACAAATTGAGAAAGGAAAACATAGTTATTAGTCATTTCATCGTGTTTTACCTTTTTTTTTTTTGTCTGATCTGCAAATTCAAATTATAAGTAAATTGATTTAGACAAGATACAACCATACAAACCACATAGGCAAACTGCGATGTACCTAAAACGGGCAATTTGGATAGGCTGAATTTATTCATTTTTTTATAGAAAGAATTTATTCAAATTAGCATAAAATACTTGAACATATAAAAAATTATATATAATCAAGCTCGGCCCTAATGCCTCAAACTTCTGGGCTGGTCCAAATGCCTAAATTTTTAAATATTTATTTTAATTAATTTTAATTTTTATATTAAAGAATTTAATATTTTCAATTTTTATCTAATTTAAATTTTATTTTATTAATATTTTAATAATAAAATTTGGGTAGTCTAACTAAACTCATTTTAGCAAGATTTTTTTGAGTTTATTCGGGCAAACGAAATAAGTATAGAGTAAAAAAAATTTTTTAAATTATCTAGACTAATTTTAAGATTTTTCAGGCTTAATTGAACTCTTCTGTCAAGCTTAACCCAAATAACCTACCTTGATGTACCCAAAAGAATAGGGAGAATGACAGTCGAGTTCCAAAAAATTAATTAATAATAATTAGGTTTTTAATAAAAATTTTTAAAAAATAATTATAAATATCACTTCCAACAATTGCAAACAAAAGTTTCTGCTGCAGTTTAAAAGTTATGTTTAATATTTAAATACTAAAATTCCTAAATTCATAAGTATTTTTAAAAAAAAATTCTTGGGGGGAGTCATTAATTCAACTGATTGAATCTTCGGGACCTAATTGTCATTTTCCAAAAGAATATCCAAATTTAGCTGAGAGAGGACGGACCGTGACTTCAATAGGCACACGAGTATCGACACGATGCTGGTAATAGACATCAATGCAATCAACGTCCAGTCTCTTCAAGCTCGCCTCACAAGCCGCTCTCACGTATTCTGGATCGCCACGGATATCAACCTTATTACCACCATCGGCAAAGCTGACTCCGAATTTGGACGCTAATTCAACTTTCTCCCTCACCTCATCTTCCTTCAAAGCCTGTACCAAGAAATTAATCAAATCCGCACACAGTTTGTCCTCATCGTCGTCAAAGAACGAACCAGAACAGCGAAAAAGCATCATGGAGATAAAGCTGTCGATCATATTTACCTTTCCGAGAAAAACTTCATTTGCGTTGTGGCCGTAAAAGTCGGAGGTGTCGAGAAATGTGACCCCGATGTCGATCGCGTGGCGGACTAGGGCGATCATATCGGGCTCGGGTTTGCCCGGACCAGACAGGTCCCGGCACCCGAGCCCCTGCGCCGACACCTCCAAGCCTTGTGACCCGAGCTTGATCCGACCCACTTTTGCCATAGATCAGAGAGAACAGGGATGATTAACTTCGATTGTTGGTTTAGTTTTGCGGAGACCCTCGTGCTTTTTTATATTAGGATGCCTGCTAAAGTCAAAATCAAAATTAGTTGAATGTTTTATTTTTTTTAAGTTTCCTCGATAAATTTAAAATAAAAAAAAATAGAGGGAGGGCATATCGGATGAGGTAGTAGTTGGTAAATGCTTCGTCAGGTTATAAATTATTATAGGGTACAGGCCGAAAATTTCTTAACATTTTTTTTTTAACCAACAATTTCTTAGCATTCTTAGGTTATAAATTATTGAAAAAAATGATAGAAAGATCTTAAAATGATCAATTAATTTAAGTTAAATTTTAAGTATTAAATTTTAAAAAATTTTAACTCAATCTTTCATTTTTATAATTTTATTATGATAAATTTATAATTTATATTTTAAATTTTAATAAAAAAATAAATTTTATATTATTTAATCATGTTAAAATTTAAAAAATAAGTTATAAATTTATCACAATGTAGTTACAAATTTAAAAGATTAAATTGTAAAGTTTTAAAGTTTAACACTTAAAATTTAATTTAAATTAATTAATTTTTTTAATGTCTCTTTATCATTCCTCCCAAATTATTATGCACCAGTGAGGAATCAAGGTGGATCACAAGAACACAAGAGCATAAAATGACCCATAAAATTAAATAAAAAATAATATAAAGTATAGTATTTGAATTAAAATTGGCGCACTAGGCCTAACAAGGAAAATTCACGAAGACCAAGACTTGTGAGAAGGTTGATGCGGCCCATTAGTAATCCACCGTCATACATATAACTGGAGCTAGGGGTGTTCACAGGACGGGGTGGGACCGGGACACCCCTATCCTGTGTCCCGTTCCGGAAAAAAGATCGGGACTAAATTTTGGTCTCATTTCCGTCCCGTCCCGAAAGTCGTCCCGTCCGTTAAGAGTCGGGATGAGATCGGGACAAGATCGGGACGTCCTGCCGTCCCGATAAATGGAATAATATCAAAAAAAGATCTGAACAATAACGTTCATTAAAATTTTAAATCATATAATTTATTAGGTTTAAAATTAAAACAACACAAGCACATAAATAACAATAATTTAAAATCAGTTATTGAATTATATTAATCACAACTACATATTATAATAACAAATACAAGTGATCTTTATGCTATAAGATTAGCAACAACAGACAAGTCAAACACAACATCAAATCATTGTTCTTCTACTTTAGTGAAGATGTACTAAGTCAATTACTCTTTTAAAAATAAGCAAGAAATATATTATAAATAAAATTTATTAAATAGATAGATATAAGAATAAATTATATTAATATAATTAATATATTATAAAGAAAGATATCATCATGTTTACTCCATGCCATTAAAATTATTAATATAAAAAACTTTAGTTTTAAATAAAAATTGCAAGTATTAAAATTATAATTGATATAAGTATAAATTATATTAATATAATTAATATATTTAAAATCAAAAGTAATATATATAATATTCGGGACGGGACGGGACGTCCCGATAGTCATCCCGTGTCCCGTCCCGTCTCGAATCCCTTTCCTGTCCCGTCCCGATTATTTTCAGGCCTGGACAAGACCCGTCTCGATATGATCGGGACGGGTCCAGACTGAACACTCCTAACTGGAGCAGCATGTTTAAGAGAGTCACACTCACTCTTCCTGCCTCTTGAAATTCGCATCGCCCTCACATGCAACACTTCACATGATGAAGCACGCCCATAGGACTTTGAAGGTGCAAATAATTACTTATTCCCAAAGACGCCAACCTTGAATCCAAAAGGAATGCATCATTACCATTTTTCTATATGTAAATAAGCAACGAGTACATAACTAAATGTTTCTTGACACTATCAAACTCACACAACACTTGCCCAGCGTAAAAATATTAATCCCGAGTTTGCATCACCCAATCTTACCTAACACGACTTACCTTTCTTGTGTAAACTCGGCCCCCTAGACTAGTTTCATAGTTGTATTTACTTCTTCATCTACATTGAACATTCGATTGTACTCATTTTATTAATAATACCATCAAGTTTCATGCTCAATGCAACACATTACTTTACTATTCTCACATATTACTTGACTTTTTAAAGAAATTGTAATAAAGAATCTTGAAAACTTAGTCAATTGTTTGATCGCAACTCATACTCTTAAATACTTACTCTTAAAGACATGTTTCTTTGACATGCTTAACACATCCCTAAGGGTTGCGAAGCCTTGACCCTTTCCCCAAAAAATGAGCCAACATATAGTTGTCAAAGACTAAAATTGTTAATAACAGATAATATTGTTAATATAAAAGCATATAGTTGTTATTGCATAATTAAATTAAAGTTATGGTTAGCTGTGTTAATATTTCCTAGACTAAACTTGTTCATCACTAAGTTGAAGTTGTTAAGATTGGAAGCATATTTGTTATTGCATAATTAAACTAATAATTACGATTTCTATGTTAACAATTTTACCATAATTATTAACAACTTTAGTTTAAGTTTTAACAACCATATTTTCTATCCTTTAGAGACTTCGAAATAATTATTCCATTTTGTCTCACAACTTTATTATTTTTTTATGAGATTTATTTATTATTCTTTTTTTTTAGTATAAGCCATAAATATTTCATCACTTTTCTTAAAAGTATTATATCATGAGGATGTGATTGCCCTGTGAATAAGACAGAAATACTTGATTTGAATACATATCAAATGACCTTTAAAGTTTGAAGGCTTCAATTTTTCCTCTTATCCAAGTTATCTTATTCTAATTCAAAAACCTCCAACCAAGCCAAGTCCAAGGCATGAGAGATGCCAAATCCACTCAAGCGGCAAAAGAAGTGGGGAAACAAATAAAGTCAAGCAACTATTTAATTAATAAAGGAGATAAAAAATGGAGGAATTGGTTGCCTGACTAGTTATTAAAAAAAAGGGGAATGACATATGAGAATTATTCATATAAACATTTGATAAATAAGTCCCACAATATAGACTAATTACACTAAAGTCCAGTGGGACTTTTCCAACATTAATTTTTTAAAAGAATGACAGATAAATTTTAAGGAGGTCAGTTAATTCAAATTAGATCTTAACCAATTTCTAAATACTAAACTCTAGGGATTTGCAAATTCTGCTCTCAATTTTGCAATTTCATTGTGATGAATTTGTAATTTATTTTTTAATTTTAATATAATTAAAAAATAAACAAATTTATTTATTTTTTACTAAAATTGAGAATACAAATTACAAATTTATTATAATGAAGTTGCAAAATTGAGGGTCAAACTTGTAAATTTTTAAAATTTAGCACTTTAAAATTGGCTGGGACTTCATTCAAATTAATTAGTCTTCTTGAAACCCATCTATCATCCTCTCTAATTTTTTTATCAAATTACCAGATTGACCTTAATTTAAAATAAAACAAAAAACAATATCCATTTTCACTCAATTTCTTCTCCTTTCTCAAGCTCTCAATGTCATTCAAAACTAGATTCTCTCATTGTCTCATTTCTCAGCGTCTCTTAGCGAGAAACTAAAAACCGAAAAGAAAAAGTCTTCCTACATGAAAACAAAGTGGATATGCTTGAAGGTGGTGGTGAGTAAAGAAGAAATATCCATGTAAACAATATTGAAATGACTGCTAGAAAGTAATCCTTCTAAGACGAAATTCTTTCTGATACAATTAACTTCTAAAATGAGTGATGGAGAGAGATCATGATTGAGTCTGAAATTGTGAAGCCACCAAAAGAGCTGATAAAAAACAAAGGAGATAGAAAAAAAGAGTCTCTTGTGCATTGTGCTTGCTTTCTCATAAGAAAACTAGTGAGAAATTGAGACTTCCATCATATAGCAATCAAACAAAAAATTAGTTTGCTCTTCTTAATTTTCTTTATGAACCGGATAGTCCAATCATCTTTACCATTTGATAGTGTTGAAAAAAGCTGAGATAAAAACTGATTATTTTCATGTGCACCTTTATTCTAATCACATATGTGATCTAAAAGGAAACATTGGCTTCTAAATTTCCTTATAATTTGGGAAGAATTGGGTACCAAACCGTGATGAATAGATGAATTTCTCAAAAACCACAACTGATTAAGTAGAACAATGATATGCCTAACAAAATCAGTTCTTGAATCTTCAAATGATTTCTTGAAAGAAACCAGCTGTGGAGCCAATCCACCAAGCTAACATTATTGATTAAAGATGTTTGAATGGAGAGATCGCCAAACCTGATGGATCTAACAAGAGGGCAGTCAGCAAAAATGTATTCTATTGTTTCATCACTTGGACAACTAAAAGGAGCATGGATTTGTATTTGAAAGATGATGTTTACGCAGAATATCACTAATGAGGAGACAACTATTACTGCCTCCCTAATTATTAATAGCACAAAATCTTGCTCGACAAAAAGGAGGTCAAGAATTTGACTCACTCACAATTTGTAGTTTGTACCATTGTTTATAAAATCAGACTAGACTAGTTAGTCAAATTATGAACTGGTGACCCAGTCGTGTGTTTGGTGTAACATTCTAAATTTTTACTCTAAATTAATTATAGACAATTTGAGATATATAAAGGAATTTTGAGGCACAGGAAATTATTAAACATTTATTGAAGATTTAATGTTAAAAAATAATAAAATAATTTAAGAAAGAAAATTAATTGATTATGAGATCTACAAATGGTATTATTTCATAGTAGTTGAAATCTACAATTTAATTATTTGAGGAAAGAAAATTGAGCTAAAATAGGATAACTTATAAGTGTTTAATTTTAAATGACAAATAATCGGAATAAAAATGATCTATATGTGTATATATATAAAAAAAGAGATTAGATGGTTGATTAAATAAATAAATATATATATTAATTAAAATATGATACAATATATATCGAAGAAACAAAATGAATGAGGAGAAAGCAGCCCACACCCAAACCCACTATAATTCTACACACACACACACACACACGCATCACCTAA